GGTCGGGGGAGACGCCGAAGCTGAAGCGGCTGTGGTGGCCGTGTGCAAGGAACCTGGCTCCGTGCGCGATGCTGCATGTCCAGATCTGTCGGGGGCAAAGAGGTTCGGTCGATGGGCACCCATGGGGGACACAGCCCCCCATGCAGCCGTCCCTCACCCAGCTACCCCTTCCCACAGTGCCAGCCCTACCAGATAGGCAACAAAGGCCACGTAGGCAGCCAGCAGCAGGCTCAGGGGGATGTAGTACCCCAGGCTCTGCAGCGAGGGCAGAAAATCCACCACGAAGTAGATGTTGATGGTGCAGACCAGCGCTGTGATAAGGGTCATCAGCACCTTCCAGGGGCTGCGGGCAGGGGAGCGACATCAGTACCAGGGCAGATCCCGCACTCCATGTGCCAGCGGGCACAGTGGTCTGGGGGATCTGGGGTTGTAGGTGAGCAAGATCCCACCCAGGACATCTCTGCACCCTGTCACTATACTATACCCCTACGATGGGGCTCTAGGAATGGGTTTTTGCCACCCTGTGAATGCTGGGCTGGCAGTGTCAAGAGAATGCTGAAGACTTGTGGCAGGGACGAGACATCAAGATAAGGATAGAACAGTCTGTCCTGATCTTACTGCTGCGGGCACGTGAGGTTGAACATCACACACACACACCCACCCCCAAGCCAATACCCATGCACCAGCTGCCCCCACAGCATGGTTTAGAGGGCAGGATGGGCCAAAAGGAGTGTGCTTGCAGCTGGAGCACCCTGCTCTGTCCCCTTCTGCCTTCCTCTCACCCTGGCACTCACAGGCTGTTGGTGAAGTCCTGCATCAGTGGGCGCAGGCTGGTGAAGGTGAGGACGGGCAGGACGGCAAAGGGCAGCTGGAAGGAGAGCTGGGTGAGGGGGACAAAGTTGTGGGGTCAGGCTGTTGGGGGGCAGGCGATGGTCTCCACCTTACCAGGATGCTCTGGAGGACGTTGAGCAGGTCGTTCATGCCTGTGAGGTGGCTGACGTCCTTGAAGGCAGCCACAAACACGGTGGGCAGGATGGCAAAGGAGCGGGTGAAGAGCACCCGGGCGAAGCGGGACCAGCGGAGCTGCAGGAAGCCCTGGGAACACAGCGAAACCTGTACCTTTGCCCCTCGCCCTGCCCAGGACACTGCTCCGGTCCCCCCAAATCCTGGCTCGGAGGAACATGGGGGGCATCCCTCCCTCGTCTGTGTGCCAGGGCGCTGAGCAGGCCCTTGCAGGGCTGCCGGGCCCCGCTAGGTGTCAGTTCCAGCTCATTAAACAAACGAGCTCATGAGAGAAACACAGGGTGCCCCTGGGTGTCACGGGAGGTAGGGGTGGCTGTACCGCGGCAATGGGTGGGCACCGTCCTCATCCCACCTCCTGGGGACCGCGAGACCCCAGTACCAGCAAGCTACCACCTGCCGAGTGGGCAATGCCCCGATGCCCAGCTCCCTGCAGGACTCTGCCAAATACCCGGGAGATGGAGAGGGAGTGTGCCCCGAGGACCTCCCATCCTTGATTCCCCTCCCTGCTAGCTGCACCTGTGGGGGGAGGGCCAGCATCTCCATCCCGCACCTCCATGACGAACTGTCCCGCGTAGGTCCCGGTCATTGTGGAGCTCTGCCCTGCTGCCAGGATCCCGATGGCCCAGATGTACAGTGCCACTGCCCCAAAATAGCAGCCCAGGATGACACCCTGTATGGGAATATTTGCATGGAGACCCCAAAGTCCCACCCCAATTCGCTTCCAGTCTTCCAGTGGGGTCTTTGCAGTCCCTGGAGCAGGGGTCAGCGGGGGAGCATCACATCCCCCAGATGGGTACTGGTGCCTGCTGGCCACAGCCCAGGGCCACTCACTCCCTGGTAGATATCGACAGAGACCGTCTCGTTGTTGTCAGGGAAGATGCTGGCGTAGCTGCTGATGCTGCTGTTGATGCATTTGTTGTGCTGCAAGGCAAAGTGGACATGAATGGGATGGCCACCAATTAGCCCCCACAGACACCGTGGGAGCCCACACTATGTCTCAGGGACAAGGACACCCACTCTCCAAGGGATGCTTGCCCTGCCTGTCTCCACAGTTGGACACAACTCCCCTCCCCTTAGGCACAAGGTGACACTCACCACGTCCTTGTTTTGCTGGTGGTAGAACGCCTCACCAAAGACAGCCATGACAAAGAGGTTGATGAGGAAAGAGACAAAGAGGGCCAGGCAGGACTCAGTCAGGAAATACATGTTGGCCTCCTGCACTGCCTCCTTCTTGGACCGGTCAATCGCACGTGTCTGGGCATGGCAGATGACATGGGTGCCATGGGATCAGGCAGGCACCCCTCGGATCATCCCACAGCCAGGACCAGCTGGTCCCTACCAAGTGTCCCCTGAGACACCCTGAGATGGCAGTGCCTTCATCTCACCTTGACCAAGGAGGAGTGGAGGAAGATATTATGGGGCATAATGATGGCACCAACAATGCCCACAGCCTGGAGCAGCTCCTCTCGCCCGCAGCCTGGGCAGTAGGGCAGGAAAATGCCCTTCAACACCTCCACCTGATTCGGTCTCGCCACCACATACTGGGGACCAGTGGGAAGGGGCACTGTGAGCTGGTATTCCCATTGCTGTAACCCAGTGCCAGCAGGGATGCCCTGTGAGGATCCCCTGCCAGCACCCTGCAGGGAAAAGGGTGTCCCCAACTCCCCCTCTCACCTCGTAGCCAAAGGTCAGGGCCATGATGGTGATGAGAAAGCCAAAGAAAGCCTCTAGTTTGCGGAGCCCTAGAGGGTTCAAGAAATGGGGTGGGACAGAGCAGGGAACACCAGTGCCACATCAGTGCCAGGGCTGCCCAGGCAAGCATCTCCCCAGTCCCCACACCCCATCACTTACCATACTTGTCGAGAAAGAGGAAGAAGAGGGTGTCCACGATGGTGATGAGGACCCCACCCCAGAGGGGGATGCTGCAGGATGGCAAGGGGGAGCATTAGACACAATGCCCCTTGGTGGACTGGGGCCATGGGGAGAGCTGGGGGGTCCCCGTGGGATGGCTCACCGGCCAGCCGAGAGCAGGCTGAAGGCGATGGCTGTCCCGATCACCTCCTGCATGTCGGAGCCGATGATGGCCAGCTCGATCGTGAGCCACAGCAGCACGCGGGGCACCTGGAGGGGCCAGGGCGTGGTGAGGCACCTGAGCCCTGGCTGCGTGGGCACACTCTCCACGGTGGAGACCACTGTCCATGGCCCCAGGCTGTGGCAGGTCAGAGCAGCACAGAGCTCCTGGGAGACCCCCCAGCCTCTCCCATGCCACAGGGTGCAAGATGGATCCTAAATCCCAGCCTGCCCCCTCCACATTTCCCAATGGGCCAGGACCCAGCTGTCTGGGTATGATGGTGGGTCAGGTAGAGGGACATATCCAGCCCTCCTAGGGACCTGTCATTCAGTCCAACATCTCAATGCTTTTTCAACCCTATCAGGATTGGCCTTAGCTCCCCCCCTTCCTTTGCCATGTGATGCCCCCTGAGCCCCCCCAGCTCCCTGCACACCTGTGCCCAGGTTTGCCCAGTGTCTTGGCTGCGTGTCACTGCCCTGACACCTGAGCTTACCCCCTTAGGGGACATGCTCAAGTGTCCTCAAATCAGACCAGGACACCTAGGCAGCTGCTTTCCTTCCACCTTCCCTGGACCCCTGTTTCACAGCGGTGTGTGTGCTAGGTGGGGGGCACTGGGACTGGGACACTTTGGGGACCTCCTAGGAGGGGGGCTCTCACAGCATCTTCCTGCACTTCTCCATCCTTCCCCTAAACAGTCCTGCCCCCAAGTCCCTGCCAGGACTGCCACCAGCCCAAGTGTGAGGTCCCCTCAAGCTGTGACCCCCCCAGGGGGACTCCCTGTGGCTGCTCACCTTGGGGTAATAGAGGTAGCAAATCTCAGCCAGGTCCTTCCCCGTCACCACGCCCAGCCGGATCGCCAGGCGCTGGCACAGCAGCCCCAGGATGGTGGCACAGAGCAGCACCCACAGCAGCTGGGGGGACAGGAGGGAGGGAGGGAGGGAGAGAGGGAGGGAGGAAGCAGGGACTGGGCACCGGGCAGGGTCTAGCTGGTGATGAAGGGTCTGGAGCACAATTAGGGTTGTTTAGCCTGGAGAAAAGGAGGCTGAGGGGAGACGTTACCACTCTCTACAGCTACCTGAAAGGAGGTTCTAGCCAGGTGGGTGTTGGTCTCTTCTCCCAAGTAACAAGTGATAGAGCAAGAGGAAACGGCTTCAAGTTGGGCCAGGGAACGTTTAGATGAGATATTAAGTAAAATTTCTTCACTGAAGGGGTTATCAAGCACTGGAACAAGCTACCCAGGGAAGTGGTGGAGTCGCCATCCCTGGAGATATCTAAAAGATGTGTAGATGTGGTGCCTGGGGACCTGGTTTAGCGGTGGACTTGGCAGTGCTGGGTTAACAATGGGACTTGATGCTCTTAAAGATTTTTTCCAAAAAAACGATTCTATAATTCTGTGGTCGCCAGCCCCCACCCCAGCCAGGGGTGACCCACCCATACCCCTGGGTGCTCTCCCCTAGTGCCAAGGGCCCCTCTGTTCCTTTCCACTCCCAGGGCTGGGGAAGCTGGCTTGCTGTGGGGCTGGTGGCCGTTGGTGCAGGGGGAGTTGCGAAACACCCGGCGGCTTCCTGACCCAGGGGGCCAGAGGGGCCCGGGGCTCACCTTGAACCCTGCTACTGCCCCACACTGCAGGTCCGACTCCACGTTGCCAGGGTCCAGGTAAGCGATGCTCATGAGGAAACCAGGACCGGTGAAAGCCCAGAGTTTCCTAAAGCTGAAACCAGGCTGGGACAAGGAAGCAAGTCAGAGCTAGGAGCTTCCATTCAAAACCATTGTCTCCCAGTTGCACTCCCAGTCCCCTCTAGCCGGTTGCTGGTAAGCCCTGTGCTGCCTGCACTGTTGCATATCACACCTGGAGGACGTTTCTTCTGCCTGCTTCGGGGAGGGAACTGCTGCCCCCCCAGCCCCTCTTGGTTAGCAGCAGTGCTGGGGTCAGAGAGACCCCCATCCCACATGGGGACAGAAATTTTCAGAGGTCTCCTGATGCTGTCAGGCAGCGTTAATTGCATCCTGTGGGATCCCACTGCCAAGCCTTGCTTTTACCGCCCCTCCTTGCAGGGGAACATCCATCCCTTTTCCATTCCCTTCCACCTGCTGGGACTGGCTGGGCATGTCTTCCCCTCGTGCCATAGCCCTTTGCCATCCCCAACCCCCCGCAGTACTGCCCCCCAGCCTGTCTCTGCCCACGCTCAGAGGGAGCTGCCAGCCCTGCAGCACCTACCCCTCCATCCTTGGGGATGCTGATGAGCTTGTCCAGGTGGGTCTGGTCCCGGGTGTCAGGGCGCTGCCGGGGCATGGGGCTCCCGCCGGTGCCATAAGTCTGGGCTTGGCCCTGGTTCAGGGACCCCGTGAGGCCTGGGGGTGAGAGAAAGAGGAGGAGGGGAGGTCGCAGCTCACCAAGGGCAAGGACATAGGTGGCTGGTAGCCCTGGCTTCCTCCCAGTCCCACCTGCCTCTGTCCAGTGAGCCCCATGAGGGATGAGGCCCATTTTCCCAGGAGAGCCATGAGGGTGGCTGTGTTGGGGGCATCAGTGGCTACCCAAAGGTGACAGATGCCACATCCAGCTCAGATGTCCCTAAAATCTTCTGGTCCCAGCCCAATCTTAACTGGTGCAAGAGCCAAGTGCATTTCTGGGCAGGAGAGACAGCAGGAGACCCTGCTCCAGGTCCTGCTGCAGGGTGGGCACGGAGAGGAGGATAAGAGCCTAGTACTGGTCTCAATCCTCCCACAGCCCACCCACATCCTAGTAGCATGGGTGAATCATGGGTGGGCTTGGGTGAACAGAGGATGGGGCAGGTGGGGAATCCAGAACATGCTGGGAGAGACGTGCTCATAGGGAATAGGGAGCAAAGGCAGGGGTCCTGGGGGCGAATTCTTAGGGGAGGTGGGTCTTAGGGGAAGAAAGGAGGGGGGACCTATATGTCATGGAGCTCACCTGGCTCTAGTGATGCCATGGCTGGGCCTGATCCCGACATGGTGCTGGGGAGCACTGATCTCGACACTGGGTACAATGCCTGCCACCCAGCTTTTAAAGGACATCCCCCAGCTGCCCCCCCGAGGAGAAGGAGAAGGAAGTGCTCCTTCCCCACCCGCTGAGCTGGGCTAGGAAAGGAGCCCTGCCTGGTGGGGGCTGGGTGCTGTGAGTTCCCATGGTCTCAGTTCCCCCACCCTGTGCCAGGAGGCGGGTGACCCAGAACCTCTCTTCTCTATGCACATGCAAACCCAGTGCACGGAGAACATGCCTGCCTGTCACCTTCCATCACATGTCAGAGGTCCTGCTCCCTGGGCAGTTCAGGGAACAGGGGACAGTGTCTCATAGCACGGGGAGGAAGGTCTGGTGCCACAAAAGTAGGGGAAAGGCTGGAGAAGTCGGAGTGAGAAGGAAGCAGGCCTGGATTGCACAAGCTTGAGAGCAGGTCAAAATGCATCCTCAACTGCTGGCACCCAGCCAGGCAGGCTCTGTGGCACAGGGCACTCATGCCATCCCCAGATGGCAGGACATTCACCCCAAAGAGGACGTGCTCAGTGTTATTGCAGGTCAGGCTGTGCCCACAAAAGTGGGGCACCCCATCCCGAGGACCCTTGTTGCTGTGGAGGTGAGAGTGGGAGCACTCCAGGTGCACCCATGGGTGTCTGGGTAGTACTGCCTGCCTATTTGGGGCACCCTTCTGCCACCTGGATGTGTCCCACAGAGAGGTGGGCACTGGGGTCTGTCCCCAAGGAGAGGTGGGGCAGTGGTGGGCACAGGAGCGTGAGTCTGGCTCTGTCCCAGGGTGTGTCCCACGCACCCTCTGTCCAAGACAGGGGCTAGAACAGCCCAGAAGGGGACAGGACATCTTGGTCCCTCCCAGTCTAGAATGGTGGGCGGGTTAGCACACAACTCAGCTCCCACTGCCTTCCCTGTGCCTCAGTTTTCCCAAAGCAAACAAGTCTGGAGAGGCAGCACCGATGGCTTTATTCCCCACTAGACAGAGAATGGTGAGGGAGGGGGCGGAGGAGGGGAGGGCCTGACAGCCTTGACGCAGGGAAAGCGGGTCTCAGGGGGCCGTTGGTGGGAGAAGGGGGCAAAGAATTCATCAGCGAAGGAGAGGAGGTCACAGGGCTGCCGCAGAAGCAGGGCCTGGAGGAAGTCATACTGTACTGCCCAGTACTCAGGGTGCCGCTGGAGGTAGTCACTGTGGGATGCTTGCAGCTCCTCCTGTGGTGGAGTGGGCAGGGTGGGCACAGAGGCAAATGTTCCCTTGACCCAGGCATCAATGTGCCTCCCCAGCCACTGTGCCAGGGTGAAGGGGTGGGAATCCTGGGTCCTTTTCCACACTTGAGTAGACTGGGGAGTGTGCTGGCCAGTCTGATCCCCACTGTGCTCCCTGGACACTCCAGGGGAGACTTTGCTGGAGAGTGGCCCAGCCCCATGTCCCCCCATCTTACCTTCCTGTCCAGGAACCAGGAATAAAGCTGGATGTCCTCCTCCCAGTCCAGGGGTTGTTTGGGGAAGAGAGGCTGGGGCTTGACCTCACCTGACAGCAGAAAGGCAGGGGAGGGTGATTCCCACTTGGATGCCAGACAGCAGGCAGGGACTGCCCATGGAGGGGGGCACAAGCCTCTCCCCCATACCTGTTTCTCCAAGGACAGACTCATTCTGCAGAAGCACCAGCATTGGGGAGCCCATCTGCACCCGTCGGACCAAACGCCTGTGGGGGAAAGAGCCACTGACCCCACTCCTGGGTCCTCGCTAGGCTGGCAGGGCTGGGGTTGCCCCTGGCCAGACCCCTGCCCATACCCGCTGGGGAGGAAGCTGCTGTGCCAGACGGTGGAGGTGTCAGCACTGGCTTGCATCGATCGCTCGATCACCAGCACCTCTGCCCTGGCTGAGCCCACTGCCTGCTGCTGGAAGCCCACGGCACGCTGCGGGAGCATGGGCAGGGGTCACCCCCATCCCCAGGTGCCATCCCCATGCCCCTCCATGCTCTCATCCGCTCCCTGTTTACCTCCACCTCCCACATTACTCCCTGGCACCCCCAACCTGACCCAGGTCATGCGAGCTCCCCTGTCCAGCTGCTCACGTAGCTGGAGATGCAGAGTTGGCCCTCGGTGTTGAAGGCTGGGAAGATGAGGTCGGGGGGCACTGCCTGCAGGTGTGCCAGCACCCGCAGCAGCAGGATGCTGGCACCTTCTGGCAGCACCCCCCGCAGATCTTCCTGGAGGTAGTAGAAGCTCCAGCTCTTTGGTTCTGCCTGCAGAGAGACCCAGCCACCACCTCGTGGGACAGCCCCAGA